TCTCGACAGCAAGATCTTCCTGAGCCAATGATAGACTGGATTGGTGAATTTGGTGTTCTTCGGAAGCAAAGGGTGAAGCGAGCGATCCATGTCGTAAATAAGGATCGCTACAACACGACAACGGAAGATAGTTCGAGAACACCTTGGGGCCAAGTGGCTCAGATATTAAAAAATATAGTACGCCGAATCAAAGGCAAAAAGGATATTAAGTCGTCAGTTTGAATTCCATTTTACAGTTAAATTTATTTCACTAAGGATACAAAACCTGCCTGGGTGGAAAGTGTTGGCGTCCTTGATATTGTTCAGTATGCTGCCAAACATTTGATGTAAATGTTCGATTTCTTCGAATCTGGGTTGCTTACTACCAGATACCCACTGCTTGTTCTATGTACGAATGTCAGTTCTTTGAAGACCTCCAAGTGACAGTTCATTTTCGCAAGTGCCGCTCAAAAATTTTGATTTACTTGTTTTAAACTAGCACTCGAACTGATACGACATACGAACACCAGTAGATTCTTCCTCTTAAAAACGTTCACTACAGAAAAGAAAGGAGCTTCTGCAGTAGTGAGCATCAGTGGGAGTCTAGCTGAGGACGTTTATAGCTAAAGCTACGACGTTGTAAAGGGGACCTGAACTCCTGGTGGAATGCGTGGTTCCACCAAATCGCCTGAACCAACCATCACTCACTACCAAGTGCATCAGCTCTCTCTTCATAATAGAGTTTTAGTCGGATTAACTCTGCAATAATTTCCATTATATGTCCAACGATCAGAGTTGAAGTTACGCAAGTGCAGCAGCAGCAGTAACAGACGGCGCATTGTTAAACCTAGCGATTTTGCTAGATTATTAATAAGTTAAAAGAACTTATTGGACAGAAATTCAGGTGGTACGTTACTTTAACTGAGATAAAAGAACTTGGGCTGGCGTTGAAAAAAAAGGAATCCAGAAAGAAAATGATCCAGAAAAAACTGAAAAAGTTGTCTTCTCCTAAGAGCCGAACGGATTTGATCGAGGAAATACGACGAATTGCTGGGCCGGTTACCTTTTATTTTGAAGATTCCGGGCTGTGGGATTATTTCAAAATATTTTTGCCCAATTCACGTTATCTGGTTCTGAAAACTAAATTGTATGAGAGAGAACCAGTTGCAGCTGGCGGTAATAATTTGTCAAGTGACATGATTTTATTCCTCAAAACCAATTTTCCAGGAG